CTTGACCCTGGTGGTGGTGAATGGATAGTTGGGGTCGGTCTGAAGGGGAGTGGCTTAGCTTGACCCTGGATTCAGAGGGACAGGAGGTGAAAAGGGGTGGAGGAGGGTTGCGTCGAGTCACCTGAAATGACAGCTGTCAGAGGGGGGAGCAGATTTAAAAGGTTTAGCGGAGCGCTATGATAGGCTTGTGAGAATAGAGCGAAGTGATTGGTTTAGCTGGGGAGTGACGCCCCCTATCACTTATTGAGAGGAGAGAGAGTAGTAACATAGACATAATGAATAAGTAAAGACGGTCTTCCTGGTTGAACTTGTACTGAGCTTCATACAGCAGACTGTGTCTTTTCTTCATTTTCTTTCGCCTTCTGCTCTCTCTCTCTCTGGTGTGTGTGTGTGTGTGTGTGTGTGTGTGTGTGTGTGTGTGTGTGTGTGTGTGTGTGTGTGTGTGTGTGTGTGTTAGAGATGCTGTATCTGGACCTGACAAGCAATAATCACTTTCATCCCCTCTCTCCTTCATCTCTCCTTCCTCCTCGTCTCTCTGCTGCTCCTCTCTTTCTTCACATGTCAGCGTCCTCCTCATTTACTTCCTGTCTTCTTCTGTTGTTCCCTTTAGTGTTTACTTCCTGCCTGTCTTCTTCTGCTGTTCCCTTTAGTGTTTACTTCCTGCCTGTCTTCTTATGCTGTTCCCTTTAGTGTTTACTTCCTGTTAGTGTTTACTACCCTTCTGTCTTTTAACCTCTTTCGTTCTCTTCTTCAATTTTTTTTTTCTTTACTGGGGAGAGTTTAGGCCTCATGAGTCTAAAATTTCAATTTCAGCACAAAAATCCCAGTTTGATGACATAATAATGCACAAATTCTTACTGTTGCTTGATAACACTGCACATGGCCCCTTGATCAGAGTTCTTATCGTTCTGTTCTTTCTCAATAGCAGAATGTCCATATCAAATCTGAATCAAGTATTGTAATAATTACGTATATACAGTAACTACGCCATGCACCATCCAAACTAATGTTTGTTTGGAAATATTCCTGAAGGTGCAAGTATTGACTAATCTTGAACTATGTTAAGTGGAAAGTGTTTTGTGTCTTCAGGTGTACGTGGTTTTCCAGAGATGGAGCATGCTGCTGCTAACGTCCACTACACCCTGCTGCTGGCCTGCGTGTTGGCGGCCTTCTCGCTGGGCGCCATCTTGTCGGGCTTCCTGGTGTCGTGGTACTGCAGCCGCAGCGCCACTCAGCAGGCCAGGAGGATGGGGAAAGACCCCGAGGTCCCGCACACCTTATCTCTACGGTCCCTCGCCAAGCTCAACGGACTGCTGGACGGACAGAAAAAGGTAGGGGGACTCGTTGCATATAGATAATGTATGAAAAGAGAATGCCCTGTCATAAACCAGTATCTGAATGGGTAAAAAGGCTTTAATGGTTAACTGCTACCAGAACATGGGTATAATAACTATATATATATATGTATATATAACTCAACAGCGTCACACAGAAACAAAATAGTGATAGGAATGACCTTTATGTCAACCACAGCGGGTTGGGTGACGAGCTGGTAAGTGTTGTAAAGTTTGGTTAACAACTCTGAAGACGGTAGGTCAGGGAAAACACAGACTTTGACATAAAACTTTGTCAATTTAAACAATTTTCTTTGCAATGCAGCAGAACTGCAAAGTTTGTCAGCCTAGGCTTTTTTTATAAATAGAAAAGGATTTAAATCACAAAACAAATGATCAGGTTTCTTATGCTCTTCTTCTTTTGTCATCTGGCAGGAGGACAAACATGACGTGTCCATCCTGAAGATGTACAACTCCTTTATCTCCAACGGCGGCGCAGAGCCTCACCTCAACACCCGTGCGCACCCGGGCCTGCCGCTGGGAGACCCCGAGCTCAGCCTCTCCCAGGTAGGACAGCCTGCTTACACAAGCACTACAAAGAGGACTTTTTGGCCCCTATCTTCAAGCTTCCTATAGCTTGTTGGGGACTCCCAATTAACACGTCCCCATTGTGTCATATGATTGAACTTGAATTTTTATTTAAACTTGTGAATTAAAAAAATAAATAAAATGAAAAATGTTATTACATTTAACTGAAAGGAGCACTCCAGTGATGTTACACTTAAAGGTCCTCCAGAATCTTTGGGAGCAGTCCTGTGTTATCAGAAAGAAATGACTGAATCACAATTGTTCAGCCTGTGTCAAAAAGGTTACAAATGAAGAGGATTAATATTATGTTGAAAAAATAATAACTATTTAAAAAGTCAGAAGTTGAAATGTCATAGAAAGTCATTAAAGAAGTCATAGTATAATAGGTCATAAAACGTCTTAAAATAATTTGTTATAATATCCTAGTTTGGTATGTCATTGAATATTAAAATAAATGTTGTTACATACCATGTCATAGTTTTATTATTCATTAAAACGTGATAAGATTATTAAAAAGTAATATCAAATTTCATTCAAAAGTAAAAAGTCATGGTGTAGGATGCTATAAAAAAAGGTCTGCATGGTGTCTTATAGAACATATGAAAAGAAGTGTTCTACAAAAAAAGGATAATTCCTTTTTCCTGTAATGCATTTAGACAGAAACAAGATGGTCTTATTAATGTGTCATTTCTAATAATGGGTATAATCTCTGTTAAGTCTCTGTCTCAGGGAGATGGAGATATGTCCGGCCTGCCCACGCCTGTCTCCACCCCCGAGCTCCCCATCAAGAACATGAAGGCCCTGCGGCACCATCAGTATGAGAGGAACCAGAATTGCAACAACGCGGCGGACAGCAGCCACAAATCTACGCCGTGTGGCTCCACATCCAGTCTGGGTTTCATGGCTGTTGTCAGCAACTCTATGACACAGCAGGTGTTCCCCTGCTCTCATCACCATGGCAACAGTTTGAACAATGTAGCAGCACATGGAGCCGCTACCTCTTCAACTTCACTGCATCTGCCTGATGAAAGGAACATCTTGAATGATGAGCAGGCAGCAGAAGGCGGAGGACTACCTCATCACCACCTCTCCCAGCAGTCCCTGCCCCAGAGAGGGGGGGGGCAGTCCGCGCTGGACGAGCTCCTCAAACACATCCACGAGGTGAGCGCGTCAGGAACCGGTGGCATCAAGGTGCTCACCTCCACGTCCTCATCTGGAGAACATCATCTTAATCACCACCCTTATTATAATAATAATCCCCAGAGCCAGACCAGCACCCACTACTACAGCCACAGCCATCACCATAGCAACCACCACAACAATAACAGCAGCAACGGCGTTCACCATCAGCAGCAGCAGCAGATCCCTGAGAACGACCCAGCTCCATATTACAGCACCTCCACTCTGCCTAGGGATGCTCCCACTCAGAACTCCTCCTCTTCTGCTTCTTCTTTCTCGTCATCCTTTGACAACCCCACCTCTTCCACCTCCATCCAGTCATCCAACTCTACTTCCTCCTCAACGGCACTCCAGCAGCAGGTGATTCCAGAAAGACCAAGAAGAACAAGTGTCTCAGTCACACGCCACCACTCCCAGCGCCACTTGCTCATCAAGATGGGCAGCGGGGGCCGTGCTGTGCCGCGTCACCACAGCTTCAACCAACGGACGCCGCAGCAGGCACACTTTTTGGCCAGGATGAACACCAACAGCAGCAGCAACGGCCCTCCAGGCGACAGCATGGCGGCTGGCATGAGCAGAAATACCAGCTGCGAGAGGCAGGGGCCTCCAGTCGCCAGCGCCTGCCTTACGCGGCAGCACAGTTACAGTGAAGGGCCACATGTGCAGCGGGCAGCAACCGTCCAGAGAACACTCTCGCTTAAACCCGAGGTCCCGCTAAAACCGCTGTTCCTTCCAAACACAGCGACATCATCAATGGCAGAGGCGGGAACATTCAAATGCTGAGACTGTAGGAGGCTTCTTCAGTCAGCACTTTGAATTGTCTGCAGGGATTGTGAGAAATTGCTAAATTGATGCAACGAAAGACTCAAGAGTCCTAATTAAAACCCCTTAAGTTGTGGTTATTTTGCCGTTGCTTCTCTTAGTCCAAACCCCAGCACTGTGACTGCTTTGCTCACAAAGAAGAGACTATGAGGATCGACTGACAAACAAGATCTTCAAATAAAGCACGAGGGGACTGCTAATGGCAACCTTCTCCTCACCACAGACTGCGGATAAAAACTGGCGGGACTGAAAAACATTCCAGAAGCAGGGTGAAAGATGTTAATGATTTAAAAGGAGTCCTTAATAAAAATCCATGATTAATGCAGTTTTCTTATGAGCGCTTTGATATGCTGTCCGGATCGCACCTTGGCACAGCGCCGGATTTGATTTGCAAAGATTAATAAAGCAGGGAATTGTACTGTTGCGGACCTAACATGAACTGAATCTGGGACTGTGGGAGTGTTCACTCTCCTTTTCTGTGATTAAACGAGTACAAACCCAGAAAAAAAACACTGAAATTAGGTTTTTGTTATCATGTTCGATGGAGCTTTCAGAACATCAACACATCAGCATAGGAAAAAGACGGTTCTGCTTCATGAGCTGTAGTCAAAAATGTAAATATGGGGATCCAGTTAAGAGCAGCTGCCACTGATAGTACATAGTGAGTCCATATTGGGATCTGAGACACAATTACAACCTAAATGGACTGTTGGATGTTAACTTAAAGGGGACCTATCATGCAAAATGCACTTTTTGTATGTCTTTTATACATAAATATGTGTCCCCGGTGTGGAGATTTGTCACATTTTTCATGGGCGCAACCCATACTCAGCTCTGCTGCTCATCCCACAAATGCATGTTCGTCACAATTGTGGCACCATTTAAAAGGGAAATAAACAGGTTTTCCAATGGTATAAGATGTATTGCCAAGAAGCATTGTTACAACAAAGAAATAATCTACCAAACACAGATTTCCTTACTTTTTGTGTTTAC